GGAGGAGCGGGACCATCTCGGTTCCTCCCCGGGGCACTAACATGGCACCCGGGTTCTGGTTCCACCCTCTAGGTCAGAGCGGGGCTGGCAACAACTGGGCCAAGGGGCACTACACGGAAGGTGCTGAGCTGGTGGACTCGGTCCTGGACGTGGTGAGGAAGGAGTCGGAGAGCTGCGACTGCCTGCAGGGCTTCCAGCTGACCCACTCGCTGGGCGGCGGCACGGGCTCTGGGATGGGCACCCTCCTCATCAGCAAGATCCGGGAGGAGTACCCCGACCGCATCATGAACACCTTCAGCGTCATGCCCTCGCCCAAGGTGTCGGACACGGTGGTGGAGCCCTACAATGCCACCCTCTCGGTGCACCAGCTGGTGGAGAACACGGACGAGACCTACTGCATTGACAACGAGGCCCTGTATGACATTTGCTTCCGCACCCTGAAGCTGACCACTCCCACGTACGGAGACCTCAACCACCTGGTGTCGGCCACCATGAGCGGCGTGACCACCTGCCTTCGCTTCCCCGGCCAGCTGAATGCCGACCTGCGCAAGCTGGCAGTCAACATGGTGCCTTTCCCCCGGCTGCACTTCTTCATGCCGGGCTTTGCCCCTCTCCCCAGCCGCGGCAGCCAGCAGTACCGAGCCCTGACGGTGCCCGAGCTGACGCAGCAGATGTTCGACTCCAAGAACATGATGGCCGCCTGCGACCCACGCCACGGCCGCTACCTGACGGTGGCCGCCATCTTCCGGGGCCGCATGTCCATGAAGGAGGTGGACGAGCAGATGCTCAACGTGCAGAACAAGAACAGCAGCTACTTTGTGGAATGGATCCCCAACAATGTGAAGACGGCCGTCTGCGACATCCCCCCGCGCGGCCTCAAGATGTCCGCCACCTTCATTGGCAACAGTACGGCCATTCAGGAGCTCTTCAAGAGGATCTCGGAGCAGTTCACGGCCATGTTCCGGCGCAAGGCTTTCTTGCACTGGTACACCGGCGAGGGCATGGATGAAATGGAGTTCACGGAGGCTGAGAGCAACATGAATGACCTGGTCTCCGAGTACCAGCAGTACCAGGATGCCACTGCTGATGAGCAGGGGGAATTCGAAGAGGAAGGAGAGGAGGATGAGGCGTAAAGTTGAAATGGGTAGGAGTTAAGTATAGTCTGAGCAGGCAAGTGTTCGTTGAGAGGAGGAATCTGTGCAGTTGTGCTGAAGCATGCATTTTTTTAATTTGGTGCTCTCCACTGTTGCTTCTGTCAGCAGTTTTGTATCCTTGACTGTCCAATGTAACAGTAGTTGCAAAAATACTTCAGAGTCTTCTGTTGAAATGGTTAACTTCTCAAACATAAAGGCTTTTTGTGTCCTAAACTGTCTCCTCTGCTTTATTTCTCTCAACTAAGAAAATAACTTCTTGTTTTCTCCTAGTTTCATTTCTCAGTGTAATCCCTAACCTCATTGAAAAGTTAAACTCAATAAAACAAGATTTCTCAGGCCATGAGTATGGCAGCATGAGTAAACTGCAGTTGCTCAGCTTAAGATGGCAGCTGATGTGTGGAAACTGGGGGTTCGCTGTGAGATGCTCCTGTGTCTGTTGTTGGGGAGAAAGCTGCCTCAACTAATAGAAGCAAGATGCTGCACTGGAGAATCTTGCAGCTCCTGTTTATGGCCATACATCGTAGTGAGGTCAGTGAGAAGGTATTGAATTCCACACTACGAGCTGTCAAAACTGATTTGACAGGATAGCTGCAGGCTTCCCCATTGTCCTTCAGCAGATCTTCATTAACTTGTTCCAGGGGTTATAGTATGTGCATATGGGTGGCTGCCTGTCACTTGTCTTGGTCTTGAGCTGTCCTGTCTCCCCTATCCTCTTCTCTAAACATGGAAAGTCCATGCAGAAAAGCATGAGTCTGTACTAGCAGACAACTTGCACTTGATTAAGAACCTGAACTTTCTCTTCAGGCATGAAACTCTTGAGTGTTTCCCAAAAACAGCCACTAAACTGCCCTTAACTGTGAAAAGCAACCAATTACCTTTAGGAGATAAGAGGTGAGGGGCGGATTTCTAGATAATGTGGCTTAAAAGGCTGGCCAGAGCATACATAAAATCTTGGAATAGTTGGGTGGATGCCCTGGGAATAGCTGTCTCCCACATGGAAGTTGTGTGTTCACAGGGCTGTTGTTGTTTGATGCTCTTGGTCCCTGCAGTGGAAAATGGGCCTCTACCCAGGCAGGCGAGAGTCCTGCGGCAGCACCCTGTTGTGCATCTTTGTGAAGGTAAGTGTGGCTTCCTTGCAGTGAGGGAGAGGGGGTTTGTGCTGCTGTATGCTTAAAGGACGCAAGAATCTTCAGTGAGCCTATAAGGCAGTTTACTGGTATTTGTAAGACCTATGAGATTTTTCTTACTCCTACACAACAAGAGTAAAATCCCCCCCAGAGTACAGCAACTACCCAATACGTAAGCTTACATACTGACTTTTGGGGATGCGGTTTAGCAGGCAGGGTGGTGGTGGGCTGACAGCTGGACTTGATGATCTCAGAGGTCTTCTCCAACCTTAATGAGTCTGTGATTCTTAGTCCTGAGTTCACCCAAACACCACTCAGGAGTGCTCCAGTACTAAACAAAGCATTGCTTTGAGAACTGCTACCAGTGATACCATTTCTGTGGTCCTTACTGGTATCCACCTGTGTGCAACCTCTCCTGTGATCCTCGTGTGAAATGCTTGCAAGGCATTACTGGAATAAAGACTCCCAGGGGAGCTGCTGCATATGACTAGTATCTTGCCAGTTTGGGCTCTGTTCATTGACTGCTGCCTGCAGACGCTGCTCTGAGCACACCTGGTTCTTCACTGAAGGGCTTCTTACCCTATGGCGAGACCTATGGTGGTGTGCAGGACAACAGGTACTTGCTGAAGCTTTTCTCCCATATGTACGCTTCACTTCTGGTGTGTACCCTGTGAAGAGGGGTGAGAAGCAGTTAAACTGCCTGGATTGTCAGTAAACAAATACATCTGTATATACCCACAATAATATTCGTGTTTCTTAGCACTTGAGCCATTCTAGGATTAAGCATTAAACAAATTGAGGTTGTTCCAGTAGCTGAGTTACTACATGCTGCCTCAGGCCCTTCGGGGAAAGAACAGCTTATGTGGTTGTCAAGGTAACCTTCCCTTGAATATTACCAGGCTGGCTTGCGCTTGGAACTGTTTATCAGATAGCTGTGTTTGTAAAGCTGAGAAGAGGAGCCAGCAAACAAATTTAAACAAAGTTTAACTAAAAGATGAGGACCTGGTCTTTGATCGTAAAGATCTTCCTTTCTGCCATGGGGCTGTAGCAGGTTTCACTGGCATTCAGCATGTCTAGCTTCTAATTCTTAGTGTAATTACACTCTGTCTCTAGCTAACCCTTAAATAGAGCTATCCAAGCGACACATTTCAGTACAGCTCTCTTACTAGAAAGTAGGACACCATCCTACATTGCTTGCTGTTATTTGTATTCTGTTTCTTCTAGAGGAAGAGAAACCATAAATAGAGATACTCTAGACAGAAACATGTTCTTTCATAAATCCTACGCAGCCTATTTGCCAGTCAAAATCGCTAATAAAAAAAATCAGACCATGATTTTGGTAGGAGTTGAGGGAAATACAGGAAAAGGGGGCACTAGAAGATTGAGAGGGGAGGTTCAAAGCTCCTTGGTAGGAACGCTAACTCAGCTATAAGGGAGGAGGAGCCTTGTATTGAGCCTGGGGGCTGCAGTACCAGCTTCGTCTGTTGGATCTTTGAGTTTTAGCTGTATCTAGCACTCTGGACCCCATTCACCATCAAAGCTAGAGGCTGGCTGCTGTATGCTGAACAACAAGCAGAGGTCTTGGCAAGTGCTCGACTGCGCTTTTTCTGTTTCACAGTGAAAGCAGAAACACTGAAAGGACTTCAGATCAGGTAATCTGACTGCCTTCACCTCTACTGGGTGCTGGTTTGGATCTGTCCGTGTGATGAACAATACCTCCAAGGCTGAAGGTCTTGCATGAGGCATCCTGTCTGGAAGAAACGAGGATAGATAGTCCAGGCTTGGTGGTGTGCAGCTTAAGCCACTTACAATGACTTCTTTGTGTTGAGATAGAAGTTAGTAATATTAAGCAATGTATTTTTCTCTCAACATATCAATCGTGGTCTGCATGGAAGATTTTTCCTCTGCTGACATTTAGAGCTGATGGTGTTGGGGAAGGGAACAATGTCTTTTTTTGTTCCTTTTGTTTAATGTGTGGCATTTTTAAGCACATTAGCAGAATGTCTCAGCCAAGGCAAACAACTCAAACAGTGTTTGTCTGCTGGTAAATGCAGGTAAAGTAAAGCTAAATAAGGCTTTAAAAGCAGCTAGGTACTATGTAGATTTAATTTCAACAGAAATGGAATGAGGTATGGTAATGCTGAGATGCCGTCTCTCTTAATGTCCCTTCCCTGTTTAGTTCTAGGACCTCAGTCTAAGCTGTTGTACCAACAGCATTGTGGAAGGGTGGTTCAATGTGTGGTGTGGTTCTTCAGAACACTGAAATATCTGTTGAGAAGGTAGGCCTACATGTGTTTTCCAACAGATGTTTTTCAATCTGTCAAGTGGGAGCAATAATGATTCTCCTCTTCCCAACACATGTGAGGTGCCCAGACACATCAGAAACTGGATTTCATTAAACATGCAGTGGTCCCAGTGATGTGATAATCTAAGAATCAGACCGACCCTGCTGACCAGTGTATCTTTCCAGAAGATATGAGGTGGACAACACAGTAAACCAAAGTAGCAATAGGATTTATAACCTGAAGAAAGAAGGGAAGCCAGATCTTTGGTCTCTTCTCCAGCCAGTCCTCTGCACAAATGGGGCAAAACCCTAATCTTCCATGCAGGAAAACCTGCTGATGGATGATATTATTGCATGCTGCACACTTCAAAGGAGTATATCGCTAGTAGGTCCTTCTAGGCATCTGTGCAAATACTACGCGCGTCAAGAAGCTGTGGTGGCCTGACATGGCGATTATCGGGCCGTGCTGCAATGCGTGGCTGCAAAGCGCAGCTTTGGTGCCCGGAGGGACCGTGGCAGAGTGGTGCCAGAGGGACAAGTTGTTTTACCTCACCAGAAAGAGCTGGGGAATCTAGCGATACTCCCTGCACCAGCAAGAGTTCTCCCCTTGCTTCCTCCATTCCTGGACACGAAGTGATGTGTAAGATCAGGATGAACCCTGATGCTGGCGTTGAGTAGGGCAAGTTTCATGGTTGTTCCATTGAAATTGGAAAAAAAAAAAAAACCAGCCCAAACCTCACCTCATTGCCTTACTACCTTTTTTTTAAGAAGTGCTGTTAAACTAGACTAAATTCTGCTTTGCAGTGGGAGGTGCCTCAATTATTGTTCTCTGTTTAATGAGGCCTAATATTTTTATTTGCTAAAGCTATGAGGAGACAAAATCCTCTCTGGAGAAGCCACGTGACTCCCCCACATGTGTGGTACCCACCCTTTCTCCCTGGGGATGTTCTTCTACTTCTCTGTTCCATATTCAAGCGTAACGCAGGCGTACTTTCAGGGACCGTTTGGATGCGGTAGCCTGCCAGGGAGCTATGGGTAATGCCGTTCCCCTGACCTGCTCGCTGTAGGGCAGGCACTGTTTCCTCATTCACAAGTAATCCCCTTCTCTGTCTTCCCGTGTATTTTCCAGCTGCTTCTGTATTTCACCAGAACAAGGCTTGTGACTCTTTTGATCTGTTACATGTGCCTGATGTCATCCAAGTAAGGCCATTTTCTCCCCCTTTCTCAGAATAAACCTGTATACATAAGTCTTGGGAGCTAATCTTGTATGTGACTAAAAAAAAGATTTTTGAGATATTTTCCCCCTTCCAATCTGAAATACTTTCATGCTAAGCACCTGCCATTCGATACTCCAGCAATCACCTGTCCTGGTCTGTTTGTTATATGTTAAGACGGGAAAGAGCAGACTGTGGTATCTCAGATACTTCCATTTTAGATGTTTTTTAGCTTGCTTACATGAAAATTCAAAATGGAATCCTGTGGTCACAGGAAAGTGCCTGAGGCCACTGTGCATTTTGAAAAAAGACATTTCTTGGCCCTGACGCTACCGGACACTTGTCCAGCCGGAGCCCTCTGAGCACTGGAATCCGAGGTGCAGGGAGGGTGCTGGGGAGCTGTGAAAGTCTGGCCCCCCCAGCCATTCTGCCAGCAAAGGACGCAGTGCAGGTAACGGCTCTTTCCTCCCCTGAGGAGTTTCACAAGCAGCGCACCGTTCCCCTGCTCCTAGCTTTTCAACCCTACTTGAAGTATTTTATCTGTGAATCTGCCAGAAAGAAAAATTGTGTCTTTTTGAAGTGTGTGTA